GGGGGCTGACTCATACACCACTAGGCTGTCAGTTTGTTTCACACCATCCTGCACTTGTTTCTCCTCCCAGAAGCGATGCAGCATGGCCACCACATTCACTGCAAATATACAAACTGCATGTTTATTTCACTGCCGACGGATCAGTGATCAAAGGCGGCACTGCACAAGTTATTGACCAAACAAGTTTATCAAATGCTTTGGATCTGGATCACCTTCAGTTTAGGGTTAATTGGGCAAAGTATCAGGCACTGGGCGTTTGTTCACAATACTGTCCCAGCTGGACAACATGCTATGCTGTTCATTTCATTCCACAGAGGAGGTAGGAAGCTGCTTGCTGTTGGAAGGTGAATTTTGCTCAGATGGCCCTGAAGTAGTATGATGTGGTTTATATGCACATGCATTTGTTAAGAAAGAATACAAAAATTGGGATTTGTTACTACGTCCTCTCAGTTCTCTTAAATTACAACAGAGAAGAGACATGTTTACCCCTTTTGGAACAGTTCAAAGAAAACAAGAAAACTATTTTGTCCAAATTCCATTTTGCCAAACCACAATATTTGAAAAACTGATGGAATCAGTAGTACAGTTTTGGTCTGTTTTAATACTTTCATTTAACTTTACTTGATATGTATAGGTACATGTCGTCTGGTGGATATTGTTTTATGCCAAGTTGTATAAAGATTGTCTAACTTGCTTTCCTTTTGAAAGTTGACTGAGACTTTCTTGGTGTCCAGTTTGATAGTACAAATATTGCTTTTCTATGCTGTATACCATGAAACTACCATCACATACTGTAATACTGTATGACACACACATCACAGAGTATAAATACCAAACCTGCATATTGGATTTATAATTGGGACCAAACACCGTCAAACAGAGACAGAACCACATGAATGGAGAAAATAACAGTCTGTAGGGTGTATTAGAACTGGCCTCGAGCCAATACAGTCCTTCAGATTAGATAGATAGATAGATAGATGGATGGATGAATGGATGGATGGATGGATAGATGGATGATAGATGGATAGATAGAGAGAGAGAGAGAGAGAGAGAGAGAGCAATGCCATATTCAAACTCGAAGGCAATCCCCTGCCTTTTACAACACGGAAGAACAGGTTGAGGTTGTGCAGGATGGGTGACCATATCACTCTTTATAAAAACAGGGAGACTGAGGTATGGGTGCAGTTTCAGGAAAGCAACTCTAAGTTTCATGGGCTGTTCTGCAAGCTAACATCCAGGTGTATACATGGTACAGTCCCCTCCATACCACTGAACAAGTTGACTGTGGGAGGGGCAAAAAAGATTTCTACTGGACTTCAGAGTCTCCCCATCACTGGGAACAGAAGTTTCTTTTTCTATACTGGGAGATGCTACAGCTGGTGAAACTAAAAAAAGGGGGTTAATCTTATCTATACCGCAGTGGTAAAAGAGAACATGACTAAACCTCGGTTCTCGCGCTGTTTGTCATTGTGCAAAGTCTCACACCACACTGTGTGAAATTCCAATACAAACTTTAGGGATTAGCTTTGCTCTCGTTTGCAGTTTAAAGAATAGGCAGCCGACAAAGGCCGTGTTTATATGCAGAAACCTCATTTCCATCACTATGGCAAATTTCACACATTCTGCTTTATCATGACATTATGGAGAAATGCAGGACAGACTTATGGCATTTTTCAGAAAATATAAAACAGCTCAGTGGCATGTGTTGTAAAGTGAGGACAAATACAAAAGAATAAAGCCACACAAATACTATATCAGCCAGAAATACTAATTGTACAGACTCTCCAGCGCAGTCAACATTGCGGTGCCCGTTCCTGAGCCTCGTCTCACACCCATAATGCCCTTCTGACAGCACGGTTTCACATGCAGGAACTCTGACACAGCACAGCACACTCAGCTTCCCTTCGGGGGCTGTGTAACGCCTCAGGCTACTCACGGTCCTTGAAGGAGCCTCCGGTGTCGGTGTGGGGTGCTAGCCGGGTCACAGCCTCCGCCAAGGAGGCCCAGAAGTGGTCCATAGCAGCACCTGGAGGACCTGATTCAGGATCATCCAGTACCGGTCCTCATCTCTGCAAGCGCCGGGCCACTCTGCCTCAGTTCTCCCGCCCGGCCGAAGACCCGGCACACACCAGCAAGCTTCCCCCTTTCCCTTTCTTCTTCTTGTTCTACTTTTCCTTCCCCCTCCCCGCCTGCCAATCAGCCGAACAGAGGCTTGTGGAGGCACCGCTAGGGGTCCGGTGCAGCCGTCCCACCTTTGTCAAGCACTGAACTAATTAGTTGTGAGGCCGGGCTCCTCTCTCTCTTCCCCCCAATCCTATTAAGCACACCCACTGGCTACCTAAACCAGCCCACCAAAGACCAGCACAGGAATGTAGCTGCCCCAACACACACACACACACAGCCCCCCGGCCCACCTAGACTCCCACTCCCTCTCCATTCAGGACTGGACAGACACAGCAGCTGCCAAATCGGTCTCATTACAGCGAAATTCACCATCGTGCCGCATGTCATCACGTAACATGATAACAGACTATTAGGGAGTTGCTCAGGCAATCCACAGGACGTCGGCCGCTGACTTTTCTTTATTTTTGTTCCTGGGCTGAATTTCAAAACTAGGTATGACTGTGAAAGAACGCTTTTATTGCGGAATAGCCTCCCACTGCTGGAGAGGATGGGGTTTAACTTTAAAATTGTGGGAGTTTCCTTTCGACAAAGCAGAATGTAGCAGTCTGTTGAGATTACGCTTTCTTGTAACGAGTTTGATGACCATCCTACACGATTATTTGACTCGAACTTAAACATGATTCCAGGCTCTGGAAATATATGCAAATGTTACCTTGGAACATAAAAGCGGTATGAGTTCTTTAGCTGTTTTCTCCCCAGGGACTAATATTCATTGAGCTACAGTGACGGAAGTTGTCATACAAATGTAGACCCAGCTTTGTTATGAAAACCGATTCACTTTCACGCATCTGCCAGTAACTGTCCATAGCTTGGCCATGGTGCTTAAAACCTGTTGACCGAAATCCATCGTAATGGACCTCATTAGAACCGATTCCAGGTTTTCCATGGCAAGCTCACACAGCAGACACTCTGAAAAGCACTCCAAACCAGTTTGCAGCTTTTGTGCACTGAGCAGCTCTGAATGGCCTTTGTTCATAAATTGGGTTATTCCCTGTCTCTGTGATGCAGGACATAAAAATGTGATTATGAGGCTTCATGCAGGAACAAAGTCAAAATGCAGGTAAATTGACCATTTCAGATTCTGTACTTTTTCATTAATTTATTAGTTATTTTTTAAGCTGGCAAAGCACATCATATTCAAAATTTCTCTTCCCAACACTCTTCGCAACAAACTGTGAAAGTCCCTTCACTATTGCTGCACATCCATGTTCTATAACCGATAGCTAATTCTTTCATCCTTTGTCTCCTTGGTTTTATTTCTCGAACCTAATATTCTTGCATATCCCCTAATCTCCCTTTCAGAAGTCCGCCAGTCAGCGCTTCTAACAAAGGCGACCTATTGTCAGGCTGCTCTGCTCATGAAGAGAAGCCTAAGTGGACGGGCCCCGTCAAAGAATCGCCATGGGGCCTGAAAGAGCGAGGGGGCGCTTTAGCCCCCCTCACCAAAGAGCTGCACACGGTGCACGCTCACTCACTACCCGCTCCACAGAGGATCCCAGCCATTTTTGACACAATAGTGCTTTGTTTTCAAGGGTGTGTATCTTTCATAGCATCCACCTGCAGAAGTGAATGGATCAAGACAAACTGCACCAAATAACAGTATCTTGCAGTGATGATGCTGGAAAATGGAAACAAGCAGCCCTTATAAATGGGTCTGGCAATTTCACAGTGTCTAAATAGAATACTGATATTTTATTAATCCTTGTGGGGAATTTTTCTTTTTGACTATCCTGTCTGGCTCTCCACGAGACACACATGCAGGTGACAGCAGGCTTCGGCTTCACGGTACTGGGTTAGCTAGCAGAGAGCACCCCAGGAGCTGGGGGTTAAGGGCTTGCTGATGGACCTATGGACACGTATCTATGCTGCCAAGGCTGGGGCTCCAAGAGGTGATGTTCTGATCACAGGGTAGCCCTCTGAGACCACATGGCAGTTAACCTTCATGACAGGCTTCGACCCCAAAAGTGACACAGAGCGATCGAAATAATTTAACTATTGAATCATTGTTCCTTGAAAGGCAACACTGCAATCCGTACTCATAGCTGGAAGGAGCTTGTGTTTGCATTTTGCTTCAGCAGCAGTTAATTACAAATTGACATGGGTTGTCTGGGTTAACCTTCACCCCGCATTTACTCCTCAGCAATCACCTTCCAGAATGTTCTTTCTTACCGTCAGGACACAGCCGACCTCTGGCCTGCTGGAAACTCCTGCTGCTGACATCGGACCATCAGGGGTTTACATGCCACCAGGATGAAGTCCAAGATGAAGGCACAGGGTCACCGTCCCGCACTCAGCGGAGTTCACCTCCTCCACAACAACTGTGTTGAAGCCTATGACAAATCACTGAAGCTGTGCAGTGTTTTTATGAGCATCACAAAGTAGTATGTGCGTTCTTTATTATTCAACCTATCGATATGGTATGTTTCATAGCAATCTGTTCATAAGTTGTCAGACGTTCTTAGCCCGGGGACTGCCTATATACATCTGTATGAAACCAAACCATATTTGTATCCTTAGAGTGTGGCGTTTAACTTGTTTTTTCAATTTCCTTGACTGGTTAATCATCTGCTGTAGGTACAGGTCCAATATGTTCACAAAACCCTTTAATGATGAATGTGAATGACGGACACGGCCTGGTGTCAAAGATAAGGTGCGATTCCAAGGCTTTAACACACATCACTCCCGCTGAAGAGTTTATACTCTGAAGGGTTCACTTGCCAACGAAATACACACTGAGGTTCATGCAGGAGGCTTCAGGATATGCGGGGAAAAAAAACTTAAGTCTAGCAGAAATGAAAAAGATCGCAGATACATAAGATTCTCCTCTTCACAAATAATAATGTTTATTTCTGTACAAATAAATGATGCCCCACCCCCAGAGTCACACTGAAAACCTCTGTCCACCCTGGGCAACATTGCCTTCACTAGCCCCAAAACGTGGCAGCCTCCACGCTGCACTTGATGTTCTGCATGTTCTCGCGCCTCTCCTTGGTGACCAGGTTGGCCTCGCCCTTCTGCAGGCGCCGCCGCTGGGCGGCCTTCTGCTGCTTGCCGAGCTGCCGCTTCACTTTCTGCTTCACCACCTCCTGCGTAAGTGGGTGACAGGAGCTCGGTCAGTCACCCTAACACCCTAATTATTCCAATGCAACAATTCAAAAGACAAGCAATGTATGCTATCAGGTCAGAACTTTCTAATAAATTTAATGGCAAACACTGGATATATAATCAATGAATGGAAGAATTACCAAATTCTGTTAAAGTGCCACCAGGTGGCGCCAAAGAGAAAAGAAAAAAAAAAACTTTCTATTGAATAGAGGCAAATGGCAGATAGAGCATTCCCAGTTTAAAGGAGCATATACTGACCGGGGGAATGGTGGAGCAGCTACCAACGCTGCTGGTGGTCGTCTCACTGGTGGTTCTCCTGCGGTGCTCATTAATGTGATGCAGGCTATTTTGGTCCCTGTAGTAAGGACATGTAGTCAACATTCCCAACACACAAGCACAGTCCCTAGGACCATAACTTACTGACAAGACACAGAAATTAGGCTCAAATACAAAAACAACATTTGCATCAAAACTTTAGATTCTTTGATGACTATGAACAAAATGGTAGGTGAATATTAAGGAGTGACTGCAGTTGATTATTTACACTGTGCTCTAAGAAAGCATGCAGAAGATAAAGAAATCAGATCTGCACCTGAATGGTTTGAACTCCTTATTGGCAGAGGAGAGGTCCACCAATTCAGGGCACTCATCTGCTGCTTCTTGCTCCTCTCCTTCTGCCCCCCCCTCCTCCTCCTCATCATCATCATCATCATCATCATCACCACTCCCGGGGTCCTGATAGGCTTTACAGTCGGGCTCTGTCGGGGTACGGCCAACTTCAGCCGTTTCAGTGGGTTGAGGGACCAAGACCTGATAGTTGGTCTCGTCGGGAGGCACGTCCTCCCCTATCTTCAGTCCCTCCAGTTCCTGTACGGCGTTTCTGAACTCCTCCAAGTCTACAGTCTCTGGGACACTGCCCCCTAGGGGTCCGTCTGCTGCTGTGGGCTCCTCCTCCTCCCCATCGAGGCCCTCCTGATCCTCGGGGCCCGCAGGATGCAGCAGGGAGTCATCCTCCTGCATGTCTTTAGTGTAGCCGCTAGCAGAGACCTCCACATCCAAAGAGCACTCCCTCCTGCAGGGCAAGGAAACCGCGGTACTGTCACCAAACAATCATACACAAGCACATTTACCAGAAATGCGTAATCAAATCCTCCACTCATCTAACAAATGGCCAAGATATGGAGCTTATAGAATACGGACTATAAGCTACTTATATGGGCAAAGGATGACAGCAGACCCACTGTCAACAGAGGGCATAGAGGGGCTTAGCCTGGCCACAAAAGTTAAAATTCTTGACTGCTAAACACTGCATGGAGTGGGTGGAGACTGTTTTCTGACAAACAAGCGCAGGGTACTGAGAGCGAATCTGAATAAATGTGGTGAAATGGACATTCAGCTATTCTGACAGGTCAGTCCAGTTTGGTTTCTTAGCTAGCTTAAGATTAAAACATAGGCCTTACATATCTTGTTTTTATTTTTTTGGGCAACCACTGTCTGTATTTTATGCGTGTGGTTTTATTTGTGCAGACCCAAAAATTATGATTTACTTTGTAAAAACAGACTTCATGTTGGTTGTGCTGCTCATGGTTCTGACAGGTCAGTTTTTCATTCGCTTCACCAACGAGTGACTGTCAGTTGTTGTTTTAACATTGCCATAGCAGTATTACTAGTATTACCCTTGGTGAGTTAAACTGTGTCCCCCCCCCCAGTTTGGCAAAATGGTCCTGGGACCTGGGCTGGATGACAGCTGTATGCAATATACAACACTTTAATCCTGAAAATATTAATTCATTGATCAACAAGAAAACCAAAGCTATAAATCGTTACTTAAAATTACAATATTTGAGATATTAGAGCATCTAAACAAACTTTCAATTGTCACGAGCATCAGGATAATACATAAATTCATGGATACGTAGAAACAAACATAAATACACTACCTGATGTCTGTAAAAGTGGGATAAAGCTCACTTTCATAATTAAATCTCTTGATGAAGAAATCTCGTATACATTTGACATCCCGATCAAAATACCTAGGAAATAAAAATGGCAACTTTAGCAAAAATTTAGTCTTAGACATGTCATGAAATGAAAACATGCATGAGGAAAATGTCCTGAAATGCCATCACCATTCAGCATTCAGATGTGACGTAGAGACCATCTGAGGAAAGTCGATCATTGTGATGTGCTCTTTGTCATCCAGCATGAGGTTGAATTCATTGAAATCTCCATGGATGAGGCCGTGATTGGCCAGTTTCACGATCAAATCCATAACTTCACTATACAAGGTAGCTGGATCTTCCACTTCATGCACTTGACATCTGTGAATTTACATAGGAAGTTGCAGTAAATTTGCATGCTAGAAATGATTAACAATGTGAATTAAGAGATCTGCCACAAATTGCAGAATTCTGGTTCAGATATAAGAAATATAGAGTTAGAAAAATTGGAATTATTGTGTAAACATTTTGGCAAATTCTCATATCCCGATAATGATATATATATCACAGCTGCACCTCATTTATGGATTCTTTCTACAGATCAGCTGTGGTAGGAATTGGACAAAAATCCACAAATAAAAAGGAGCGAGGTCACAAATGTAACACGATCCACAAATATGCAAATCCCTTTTCACACGTACAAATCTCTTCATATTTTTGTGGATATGATTTTACACAACACAAATAAAAATGCATATTGTATTTATTGATGTGATTTTTTTCTATAGATCAGCTGTGGTATAAAGAGACCTTAAGAAGTCTGGGTGGGAAAGTTTTTTTTGAGTTCTCTCGCAATAGTTTTGTGTTCCCTTGCAATACTTTTCCGTTACTAATAAATGTAGTGTGTCCATTTAAAGTACAAAAGATAGAATTAATGAACTAATAAGTATAAACCTAAACGATACAGACATGTACAGTTAAATGTGCTTTAAGCATTAAACTACAGGGAACAATGCACATAAATCTGTGTTTTTAAACATATTTATTAGCGATTCCACCATGTCCATTCACCGTCACTGACTGTAAAGAAGACAGCTGGGCTATTGAAGGTGAACTGCAAACACAATATTGAAATATTAAAATTTGCCTGTAAAGAAACCTGGAAAACCAAGTGGTGTCGCTTGCTTTTGTGGAAAGATATGATAGCCGGAAAAATTAAGGTAACTTTACCGTGCGTCTCGGTTAAGGTTTAAACCCAAACCCACTTTCGGGTATATATACCTCCCTGCTATTCTCGCTTAATGACGTATGTGGAGATATGCGGATCTATACTGAAACGTTCCAGAAAGCGGGTTCGAGTTTAAACCTTAACTCCAACACGACGGTAAAGTGAGCTTTATATGCAATTTTCCGGCTGTAATATCTTTCAGTGTTTGTGATATGTTTTGGTGTTTGTATGCATACGCTTCACGTTCAATAGCCCAGCTGTCTTGCTTAAAGTCACTGGTGGTGAATGGACTCCATGCAATTAATAATAAATATATATAAAACATACAATATTAAACTTACATGGTATACATAGTTCCCCGTAGTTTAATGCTTAAAACACTTTACAAGACATGTCTATATTATTTAGGTTTATCCATGCCGTCACGTCTTAGGGGCATAGTGGTATGAACCAGACAAAAATTCACTAATCAATAGGAGGGAAGTCACAAATGTAACGCGATCCACAAACAGACAGGAAGTGATCCACAAATGTGCAAAACACGTGCAAAATAATAAAAAAATATATATATGGATATGATTTAACACAACGCATATAAAAAATATATATTTGTGAATAAATATTTGTGGATCATGGTACATATTTGTCGATTGTCTTCTGTGGGTTACAAATAATAAAGTTAAATTAAAAATTCCATACAAAGTACCTCATGCCACATTGTGGCATGTAACCTTGCGAAACTGTCATCCAAATGATGAAAAAATGTTGCCGTAAACAGTGTCTTTTGTGACACCACAAAATAAACGACAGAGCATAATATGAAACGACAGATGTTTTTATTTCATCATCCAATATGTATAGTCATATCGCACAGCCCTACTTCCAACATTAAATACATTCAAGAGAAGGTCACAAAAAATAAACTCTGAGGTCCACACAGGAAGTGTCTACTCACAGGGGATAGCCATTAATGAGCTCCATCACTACAGCATGCCTGTTGTAATCCACTGCTTTAGGAACAGGAAATCCTCTGTCATACAGGGCCTGTTGGAAACAAAACCAGGTGTGTTTACTTTCCACTGCACAAGGTGCCTCAACTTTCATTATATAGAATCACAAGGAAACTATCAATCATATGACTCCAAAAAAAAAATCAAAATACATTCTATTTTCCCCAGCACTGTGGGCCTGCAGTGAAAGACTGCTGAATGGGGGACACATCTAAAATCATATCAACTGAGTAGCACCTGAACTGCTTCATGAAATAACCAGGTGTGTAAGGGCACAATGTGAAAAATGGAGCAGATGGCAAAATGAAGAATGTAAACACTACAACGGTTTGACATAAAACCAGACATTTCAGCATGTGCTCTCACAAAGCACGTGACAATACAAAGGGTCAGCCTTTGCATCATGAAGTTAAATATAAGATCTATCTATCCATCCATCCATCCATCCATCCATCCATTCATCATTTACTACAGAGCCATGGAGAGCCTGGAGCCTGTGCCAGGAAGTGTGGGCTAAAAAGAAGAGGGAAGCCTGCATAGGATACCAATTTAAATTTAAAAAAACTTCAATGATGATATAAATACGGCTTAAAAACCCACAGCAGGTGGGATTACTGTGCATTGTTAAACACGTCCAGCTCTGACTTCCTTCTCCCATCACCAACAATATCTAGTTGGCTAACAATAGAGGTGGTCATCGGCTGTGCATGAACACCTGAGAGAAACTGAATCAGTTCGATAGCTAATTCAAGCCTTTTCTAGAAAAAGTGCTAGAAACATGTCTGTTTTTATGTTTGTAATAGAGCATTGCTTAATACAACAAATCTAATTAGGCACTTGAAACATCATAAGGAAGAATATCGCGAAATCACAGGGCTTACTCAGATGACGGGCCATAGTTGACCCCTGAGGTTTATAAAGTAACGATTCTCTAAATCTCAATGCCACTGAAGTCCATACAGGACATGCATTCAAGGTGTGAAATTCATTTCTTATAACAGGGGAGAATTCCCCCTTATGTGCAGCAAATGCAATAAAAACAAACTAATGCACAGATTCAAAGGCATTAGCCATGGAATTTTTAGTGGAATCCACTTCCCTCCTTCTCTTGACAAATGCTGCTTGCATGTCTAATTACAGCTTTTCTTTTCCCAAGATAACACCTTGGTATTTCATGATCTCAAGAAAACAACTTTGGCTATGTTAAGATCACGAGAAAAATAAGTTGATACGATAGAAAAAGATTATGGATGTCCTCTATGGACTTCTGTATGATGCAGAGTAGAAGAGAAAAGATACAGGCAAAAAGTCATGTGTTCAAATGAACGGGGCATGTCAAAAGTTCCTTGCTTTAAGTGACCTTTTGTTTAAGTAATAAATGGAAAGCAGTTATATTTGTTCACTTGCCCCATTCGTTTGTTGCTGATCTAAAAAAAAGACCTCATCCGTTACTCAAAAACCATGATACAATTCAAACATCCTTTGCACCCCTTAATGAACCGGTAGCACATCACAGTGCATAAAATCACAGTCGCGTGATATGGGAAATTTTGACACCATTTCAGCTAAGGCAATGTTTTCTGTAAATCTATACAAACACAAAGAAAATAGAAACTCCACATATACAAAGTGGGAGGTGAGAATCAAACCCACAACCCAGGAAGTGTGAGGCTATAGTGTTAACCACTGAGCTACTCTGCCAACCGTAACTTTAACTCTCACATGGAGTAAAAGCCATACTTATCTCCTTATTGTTTATACAGACCTTCATGTAGGCATACTCCTTCATGGCAGAGAGACGAGAAAGGTAGAGCCAAGACATTCTGCTTCTGTGCTTGTGGTAGTCCCGTTTGTTCCTGAGGTTCCGGAATGACGTCCGACCCAGTCTGTGAAGTTTCAAAGCAAACTGTTCCCCCTCTGAATTGGCAACGATGTAGATATCTGAAATGATGAAAGACCTAGTTACAGTACAGCTGAATTACTGATGTTCATGCCATGTGATCAGTGCATGCTTGAAATGGAACTTAACAGACCAAAGACACACTAAGATGTCATAAGTGGGGTCACAGCTTGTTTTTGGCTGCAATGTGTTAACCTTGAATTTGAAATGGTATCTTGGTTCATAATTTGAGGTCATATCACCCAGCCATACTTAATATAACACTCCAAAATAAGCACCAAAATTTAAAACAGGCCAAATTTTATTAACAGGCATTACCAGCCTTGAAATGCCAGCAATGAGTTAGTATGTTGAATAAACGTGTTGCCCACATCAACTCCCAGCTGCATAAACTATGCATTTCTTTTTTTCTGTTTTAAAACTGCAAATGTGAATATATATATATATATATATATATATATATATATATATAGATAGATAGATAGATAGATAGAGAGAGAGAGAGAGAGAGAGACACACACACACACACACACACACACACACACACACACACACACACACACAGAGGGAGGGAAAATTAAACGNACACACACACACACACACACACACACACACACACACACACACACACACAGAGGGAGGGAAAATTAAACGTGGACTTCAAGTTTCAGAGGTAGACTCTTCACTGCATTTTTGCATTGCAGTGCACTTTGCATATGCTACATAAATATGTAATTAGCATAGGCTAAACTAGCGTAGGCATATATAATCAGGATATGTTGAAAAAACATTTAGAAAATAAAACATTGTGCCGGTGTTACGCGGTACTGTAATAAATTATTAAATCGATGCAAATGGTCAAAGTATCAACAATTACGATAGGTCGACTGACTGTTGTATTGATACAGCTCTAGCATAGGCTTACCTGACTCTTTGCCTACACCCATTTGGTTGCCCACAGATGTCAGTACATCTCTGGAAGACAATGTTTTCAAAGCCAAGTAGTCATACCCTCCATAGTTCAAACGGTACCCTTGCACGGCTAAAGAGAGATCAATCAAAAGTAAGCTTTAAGGGGTATTTGTAGCACGATGTTGAATGTTCTCAGAAAATATACAAGTACGAAGTCATAAAAACAGCGTATGTTAATTAAGGGTGTCACTCTTACTTTTTGTACGTTCAAACGCCATCAGCTTGTGTTTCACAAGTTCCCGTAGGATCTTATTGCATCCACCGTGTCTGAGACTCGCTATAGAAGCGATGAGACTCACTGGTACTATTTCGTGATTCTTCATACCCATTTCAACCTACAAAGCAACATCGAGAAGGAAAAACACAAAAACATTATGTCAATAATTTGGCATGAAATAACCAACTAACCTAAATGATTAGTTTGTTAAAGGTAGTTAAGAAGAATACATTTGGAATACGTACAGCAGTTAGGACCCGGAAGTCATCTCTGGAAAGATATCTTAAAAGAACAACATTTAATTTTCCCATCGTTACAGTAAAATGTCTCTAATGATTAAACTTTGTTAAAATTTACAAAAAACAGCCACAGTTATCATAACACGACACCCCACACGTGGTGACAGGAAGTAGAAAGACGTCACGTTTCACGCACGCTTCCGCGTTAACGTCAGGTCCTAGATTTGTATTTCATGTGTGTGCAGAAGAGGAAAAATTATGGAGTTGTACATGTATTTAAATTACTAAAAAACTAAATTAATTAATTTAGAGTCCTTGTTAAATGTTTAAATGTCTATTTAAATATATGCTCTAGGTAGAATATAACTTTATGACTGGGTTGCACCAACGTGGATTAAATTAATGCTGGTTTAGACTTAATATACGGTTAGTAAATCTAGGTTTAAACTGGTTTTTAATTAATCGGAGATGCGTTGCACGTCTTAAATTCAACCATGGATTAGTTAAACCAGTTTAAACTATGATTAAAATTGGATTGATTTAGCTTCAGTGTCCGCCATGATGGATTCCGAGGAAATGTGAACAAATTCATGATGCATCATGATCCTAGGCTAAATAAATATGGTCCTAAATAAAGTTGACGCAAATGCCTCGTATTTTTTTAAATAAAGGCTGGGTTGCACCAACATGATTTAACTTTTAAAATGGATTAAATCAAGATTGGTCTACTAATCCTGTTGAACCAAAGTTTAAACCTAGTTTAAATTTAGTTTACAATTAATTTTGGTTAAATCTAAACCTTTGTTAATCTTAGTTTAATTTCCACTCAAACCTAGATTAAATTAAAGTCTGTTGCACCAATGAATTTAAATCAAGTATAAAGATGGATTAGCAGTCATATTTAAACCACCCCTCCAGGAGGTTTATGTTAAGGTCTGTTTTAGTTTTATTGAAAACGTGACTGCATTTCTTTGTTGGGTGCATATAGGAAAATTCGAGACAGGATAAACCCAATTGATTTTTTAAAGCAATAGTGAGTTGTTCATGCGGTATCGATTTACAAAAGAGTGTATCATATACCTCTCAGTCATGGGCGTCGCCGCCATTAAATCTGAGGGGGACGTGTCCCCCTCACATTTCATAATTATTCGTTTGGATCCCCCCACATTTAACATAAAATATTAGTTTTATGCCAGTGTGTCCCCCCCACATTCAAAATGCTTCTGACGCCCCTGCTCTCAGTAGAAAGGTTGGACCAGCTATCATGCATGGAAGTGAGAGGAACTCCGCTGTACCTCGACTTATCCAGCTCGTAGTAACTTTGCATTTTTATGTTTACTGCTTCAAGGCCCTCAAGTGAGAGTGAAACGGCAGTCAAGAATTAATTGATGTTTTCACTACAAATACTTTAACTAGCGTGAACTCTAACTGTGATAATCCTTTTTTAATATATTTTTTTTATTCTATATTCAGTTTCTGTAAACATAAAGCAATGTTCATTCACTGTTTATTCTTATAAATTTTACAGTGGTGAAGTTTAATTTGCAGATTAATTTACCTAGTTTTAATGCAAATGGGCAAGAATAAGAAATTCAAAACTGTGTGACACTTTGTGACAGTCTTAGCCTGTTTGCGCATAAAGCGGCTATGAGAACGTGCAAATTAGTTGAAATACCAGCTGAGGGTTGACTCACTTACTTAGGACCATATTTATTTAGCCTAGGATGCATCATGAATTTGTTCACATTTCCTCGGAATCCATCATGGCGGACACTGAAGCTAAATTAATCCAATTTTAATCATAGTTTAAACTGGTTTAAATAATCCATGGTTGAATTTAAGATGTGCAACGCATCTCCGTTTAATTAAAAAGCAGGTTAAACCTAGATTTACTAACCGTAGATTAAGTCTAAACCAGGATTAATTTAATCCACGGTGGTGCAACCCAGCCTTAGAGAAATAATTATATCAATAATATGGCAAAGTTATCGGTCTGTCTACATTCCTACCATTACCTATAGTCATGAGCTTTTGGATAGAAATTAGTTTCCTTAATGGCTTTCTAACCCTAACTCTAACCCTAAAAGGAGCTTCCTCTGCATCTTCTTCTTGGATATGGAGCTAGCCTTGCCTCTCATGGGGGGTGAGGAAAACCCGTTGCTCCCCTCAGGATCTGGGACTGCCGCTACAGCCACTGCTGGACCAAGCTCTGGGGAGTCAATTTCGATCCAAAGAAGCCTGAGGATCTCCTGAGGCCCCATCTATCTCTCCAATTGGCAATGCAGGAAACAGCTGCAGAGGCAGGTGAGGTGAAGCGGGGATACCTGGATGCAGACCAGGCTGAGCCAGGACATTTGGAAGCTGATGGGGAGGCGAAGGCTCCTCTGCAGGGCCGGAAACAGGAGCTGTCTTGCCCCTCCTAGGAAACCCGAGGGTCCTCAGAATGGACAACTTGAATGCCAGTATCCGTATTTACGTTCTGACTAGTAAGAAATCCAGGTCCACATATTCATAATTAAGTTTTTACAAGTAAAAAATTAATTACAGATCTCTACAATTACATTTTAGAGATCTGAAATTACGCATATACAAAATGAGAATTTCAGATCTCTACAATGTACAAAAATTACACTTTTGCTAGCAAAAACTCAATTGTGCAATTAAAATCATGCTTTTTATACCCCTCAAAGGATGAAGGAAAAAATATAGGCCACTGTTACTCATTTTACAATGAAAAATATTATACCATATATACTTGTACATGACCTGTAATGATAAAAATATCTTTAAAAAAATATCTTAGCCCTTTGTGGGTATTCACCACCGGCTTAGAGCCTTTAATTGATTGGCACGTGGTTTGAATCCTATAAACCTTTTTTGGAATTTTTAGCTTTTTTTCAGACCATGGTAAACCGCAGATAAGGGGGTCCTATTGTATTTTCAGATTAAGGCTAATAGTAGTAAGCTTGTGCTGTATATGACTTTCCATACCATTCAGACATTGCACCGCGGTATATGGTACTTTGACTGTGTTGAAAAAATAATTATTTTAAAATTCACAAAAATACAGTTTCCCTGAAAGGAAGCTGCTGTTATACTGGCAAAGCCTAAAGAGTAATACAGAGCAAGTCTGATGTAATTTTGTAGGTAGTTTGTTACCATTTTCGAATATCCAGTTCCCTTGGGAAAAAGCCTGTGTGAAAAGTAAATGGGATTTCCGAAAACAAGGAGCATAGTTGCAAACCACTCTTGCCGACCATTGGCTGATTAGCAGCCATGAAATTGTCGGTTAGGAGGTCGGCCAAAATAGGAAAACTTAAGGCATGTAAAGACAATTGAGGATTTTCTGTGTTGTGGATTCATTGTACTTCAAAAAGATAAGCCACAGTGTGTACTTTCGTGTTTTATAAAAAGAATCAATGAAACCTGACAAATTAGCCAGACCTCTGAATACATAGCATAATATCATCATCAGCAACAAAGAGTTAATTTTCTTTCAGCGAAAAGTGCATAAACTGGAGGCCCAGAGGGAGCCGCTATCAAAGCAGTCTCAGGCTGAGATGGACAACCAACGAGTAGCTACTTGAAATCTGTCAGGAGAAGTCTTTCAACACTAGTGAGAGACTCGTGCTGCCTGAGGCCATCGATACGTGCAAAGAGGTAGGTAAATTATAAAAGAGAATTTAGGAAGGTCCGTTATAATTTGGGTGCGTAGTAGCTAGTTATCTGGATAGTTAATATAAGGCTGAGTTTTGGTCTATAATGTGGCGAAGGGAGAAAAGACAGGAGACAGCTTGTTCTTGTGAAAGAGAATGAAAACTTTATTAATAATAAAAAAGAAAAAAAGGAGCAGGAGGAAAGTACCTCTTAGGGGGTCAGATCACTCGCCCGGACCTGCTCACAGTATCTCCCGCAGGAGCAGGCATAACCGGGCTGGTGCCGGGACCGAGCAGCGCAGACGACCCCTATGAGGAAGCTGGCCCAGTGGCACTGGAGCATCCAAGTACAGTACAAATGGGCTGGCTTCAAACAATCTACAGAAATGCGGTCGGCCTTACCACCCCTGTCCAAAACAAAAAACTTGTCCCCAGACTGCAGCACGCAAAAAGGCCCATCATATGGGGGCCGCAAAGGTTCGCGATCGGCGTCATGCTGACCAAAAACAAAACGAGTGTCTACCAGCTTTGGGAGAACATGAGACCGCGGAAAACCATGGTGCGACGTGGGTGTTGGACCGAAAGTGGCCACAGTGTCCTGAAAAACCAAGTGCTGTTGCTCAGCTGATCATGGAATTGATGCATCTGGGAGAAAATCACCAGGCACTCGCAAGGGCTGCCCGTAAACCAACTCAGCAGATGAAGTCTGCAGGTCGGCCTTTGGAGCTGTCCGCAAACCAAGCAAAGCCCACGGAAACCTGTCAGACCAAGAAGCACCCTGAAGAGACGCACGAAGGGCAGCCTTTGAAAGTGGTGAAAGCACTCACACAACCCGTTAGCTTGTGGGTGATAAGCAGTGGTACGGTGGAGAGTGATCCCTAACTCACGGGCAATCACACTCCACAAGTCGGAGGTGAACTGTGCGCCGCGGTCAAACGACAGGTCGGCAGGCACACCAAAAACGAAAGACCCAGGAGCTGATGAAAACCCGAGCCACATCTGCTGTGGCTGTGGAGGCCAATGGCACCACCGGCCAGTGAGTCAACGATGGTCAAAAGGTGCGTGTAACCACGGGACGTTGGCAACGGACCAACCAAATCCACGTGGACATGATCAAATCGATGTTCTGGAACGGCGAAAGGCGCTACAGGGGCCCTGGTGTGCAGCTGAATCTTAGCCTGCTGACAAGCAAGGCAAGAAGCAACCCAGTCGCATACATCCTTTTTCAGAATGTGCCGAACAAACTTAGCTGAAAGCAGCTTCTGGGATGCCTTGCGGCCAGGATGGGAAAAGCCATGCACAGCCACAAACACACAACGCCTCCAGCCACACGGCACTACAGGCCGTGCAGTTCCTGTGGAGACATCACAAAGCAGTGAGGTGTCACCAAAAAGCATGTCCTGCAGCTGCAGTCGCGTGTCAGCAGACTGCAACCCTTCAGTGCCACTGTCGGAGGCCTGGTCAGCTACCATGAGGGCATAATCCAAACCAAAGTGGACAGCACCAACCACCGAACATGAGAGACAATCAGCCACTACATTGTGTTTGCCAGCGACA